TCTTCTTTGGATATGGGACGGTTCTGCTGTTGTTGAGACAGGGTCTCTCTAACTAGCTGCGACTATTCTGGAATTCACTATGTTGACCAGGCTAGTCTCAAACTCACAAGGCTCCACCACTTCTGCCTTGCAATTGCTGGCATTAAAGGCATGAGCCATTACATCAGAGATTTATTTTTTGACATTGTGGACATAGGATACATTTTTAAAATGTTCTTTTCTTCATTTCCTTGGTAGGCTTTTCTTTGGAGGAATCGCTCTTTTCCTATTTTATAAATTATATGTATGTGTGTCTGTGTGGGGGTATACACATGAGGGATGGTTTATGAAGTGTTCAGAAAGTTCCTGAATGCTCTGATACTAAAGTTACTGGTGGGTGTGGGCTGCCTGATATTGGGTGCTGGGAACTGAACTCAGGTCAGTGTGCACTGGTAAACATTGGGCAGTTTCTGTTGCCACTCCCCCCACCACTTTTAAAGCTGTTATACTAGTTTTTTATTTTATTCAGTTTCATGAAATGCATGTTTATTTCTGGCCCCCCTTATGTTTCACTTGTTAATGTATTCTTGTACCACTACAACACTGATTATTATACTTTCATTTTTCTTTTGAAATACGTTCTCTTGTAACTGAGGTTACCCTGGAACTTTGACCATGTAGCCTGAGATAACTGAGCTCCTGATACATTTCCCCACCTCCTTGGTGCTGGGATCCCATGCATGCACCACTATGCCTTAGTTGTAATAACTCTACATTCATTAGGTAAAATTTTCCCCCACTGTCCTCTTTCCAAAGTCTCTTGGGGATCTCAGTTCTTTCTCTTCCTAATGCATTTAATTACTGCTTTCTCATGACACTTCACATAAAACTAGTATCTGTGTTCATGCTAGGCATGACCACAACCAATGTGTTACAGTTCCCAGATCAGAATGCCTACCAGAGTCTATTCCCTCTCATTAAAAGTCATTGGCCTTTTGGCCCTCCTGGTCTCCAGAGCTAATTCCAGGACAGCCTCCAAAACAATACAGAGAAACCCCGACTCGAAAAAACAAACTAACAAAAAAAGTCATTGGCCTTTTGACTAAGACAGAAGGCAGTGTAGTCAACTAAGGGGCAGTTTGCATTTGTGTGGTTGTAGTTCTTCCTCTCCATGGTATGAATGTCACCATGATGGTAATTATTTAAATTATCTCACTATAAAGTTTAAAATTTCATATGTTTCTGTTCAAATGATTTCATGACCCACTCTTTCTCACTAATGTTCATCTGATTTCTTTGAAGATTTTTTGTGCTTTTTAAAAAGGAGATTTGTAGTCTCACCATATGAGGTACACAGCTGGTATTTCAGTAGTTTGGAGGCTAAATCAGGCCTTTATGAGCCTGAAGCCATCCTGGGCCACATTTCAAGACCACCCATACCAAGTAGAAAAAGAAAAGAAAGGGAGTCGACTCTTGCTTATAGATGATTTGAGTTTCCACTCTGTCAGTATTATCATTTTGCTGAGGGTCATACAATTATATCCCAAGTCCCATGATATGGTTACTTTGGATTCAAGTAATCTTTCCTTCCCAAGTACAGGGAAAGGCCTTCTGACTGAGAGAATATGCAGAATATGCCTTCCCAGGAGGAATTGGGATGGAATCCCGTTAGCTAGGCAAGACTGGCTTTGTAACAGATGCTGAAAGGCTGTCCTCTTGGGCACCCACCCAGACTTTTCATGTGAGCTACTGATGACTTCCTAAGAAGTTTATCTATATTAAAAAACAGTATTTGTTCACCTCTGTGTTCCTCTGCTCATCTGTCTCATAGCTTCTGGTTACCTTCTACATTTCCAATCTTTATTCCAATCTGTTGCTGTGCATGGCTTTGTTTATACAATGTGCCTTGGAAGCACAGAATTTGTATATCATTCCCATGCTGTTTATTTTTCTTGGACACATTAATATGTTCTGTTAGGGTTTCATGCATGCTAAGCGAACAATATGCCAACTAAACTATATCCCTAGACTGCATCATAAACCTTAAAAATGTTTCATCGTCAATGCATAGTGGCCTATATTTATATTACAGGAGAATATGGTATTATAAAAATGTATTTAAAATACACTAAAATTGAACATATTCTTACAATATAGCCTTTTGAAACTGAAGAAACAGAAAGTGTGAACAATCCTATTACAATTGTATTAATCTTTATGTCGCTATAATGAAATGCCTCAGGCTGGGTATTTTTATGAAGAAGATAAATTTATTGATCTCACAGTTCTGAAGGCTAAAGCATTAGTACCTTTACTGAGAAACTCATGAGGAAGGCATCACTCTAGGGAGCAGATGTCAGATAGGAAGTCAGAAAGATAAGATGATTTGCTTCTTGTCATAACTGTTTCTCAGACACTAACTCAAAGTAGGTCTCACAGAGGTGTCTCCAATGATCTTCCATTAGATATCAGTTCTACCAAGTCCACACACAGCCATACTGGGATTCACCCTTGCATGGTGCATGTAAAATATACAGCTCACATGATTTCCCTTGCAAGGCTTGGTAGAGAATGCTCATTGCTTAGAATTGACCGTCCCTTCTGTTTCCTCTTCAGCATTATAGACAGGATTACCTTACTGATGATGTGGTATGGAAAGTGGTTTGCTTGCAAATGTCCTTTGGAATGACAGTTTTCATAGAGTAGTGTTAGTTAATGAATGCCTTCACATTGTTAGTGCATTTTCCCTGAGCATCTGCTGCAATTGCTCTTTTCATGGTCATGAGTACTTCCAAACATGTACCCAGTCTTCTGTATTTGAAAGATTTCTAGACTGGCTTTCTTGAGAGCCTTTGTTATACACATCTGTCTGTGTTCTTTAAATATATAGTCCATAAATTCTATATTTAAGCCAGAAGCATATTTTAGTTTTGGTTGGGCATCTCCTTTATGCTGAAGTTCCTTTGGCTCAGATAATGAAGGAATGTACAAAGAATGTTTTGAGCTGTTTGGCACACTATTTTTGTTGATTTCTCTATTGCCCTACATATTTTGGATGTCTTTAGCAATTTCTAAAGAATGCATTCCATGTTCAGATAAGGTAGAACTTTCTACAAGAAGGAAATTTCACAAGGTTTATACCTGTTTCTAGAGGACAATAGCTCAGACTAAAACCTCAGGAACAAGATTTCTAGAATGGGAATCCTGGCCCAGTCTCTCTTCAGCAGTTTAAGCTTGTGTACCTTCCCTATTCTGATCTCAAATCATGAAGAGAATACCTACTCTAGAGTATTGTTGAGAAAATAGATTGTTAATAGCCAAACTGGCTAACTGTATAAAATATTGACTGTCTCGCCAAGCTAATGAACTATGATCCTGGAAGCAAGGTAACAGTTTTAAGTTTACATAAGTCTATGTGTCAGAGGAATATGCTGAGGGGACTACGTTTCTCCTGCATCCTAGATGGGATCCTGGGGTAGGAATAAACTGAAGGACAGACATACAGAAATGGAAAAAAATTTGATGTCTGTGCTCAAATGTCCCATATGTATAACATTTTTATCCTCTGGTTTCTTTCTCTTTTTATTTCTTCTTGTTTCCTCCCCTTCATCTCTCATCCCAAACCTCCTCTCTTTCCTTGTTACTGTTTACTTGTCTGACATGAGCCCATCTATTGAAAAGTTTAGAAGGCCAGTCTCTAAAATTTTCACTCACAATTCAAAGAAAAGATCCAAGATAAGCAAAGGAGCTAAAAATCTACGGGAAAGAGAATCTACATACAACATGATCCATGTCTATCCTTGTCTCTTTATAGTTCTCCATCCCACAACAAATGTTTCCAGGTTATATATGCTTACAACCAACAATTTCAGCCCTAGTGGTGTCCAGGACTAGAATTCTTATGCACAATAAAAGGCAGATAATATTCTTCACATGGGGGAATTCCTAATTGTCAACACAAAGGTAGGATTGTCTAGTGAGCTTCCAATAAACTGCTTAAGAGAGAAGAAGGTTAGCGAAGAGATTAAATAATCAAATTTCTATAAAGGCACACTAGTGTGCTACACTATATTTTTAGGTGGTTAGATAAAGAGCTAAAAGTTTATATATAGTCAAAATCTTGAGTAAGGCAAAGATTGTCTTTTTATTCAGCAGGCTCCTTTTCTCCCAGCATTGGGAGACATTGTAAAAACGTCCTCACTTTTGGTTAAATTCATATATTAATATTGATAGAATCTTATTTTTAAATTTGTGTTTTATATTCTCAATATTTAAAACACTTAACAGTCTTTTAAAAACAATAACAAACACTTCCTGCAGAAAATAAAGGGTGTACTAAAATTAATTCTCAATTAAAGAAACTGTGAGCAATGGTGTAGAAGGTCTTATTTCTGAGATATATTATTTGATCCTGAAAATAACTTGAAATTCATAGTTCCTCAACCATGAAGTTTAGCATACTGTGAACAATATTTAACCCCTCCATGAACATGGGACAGTGAGTCACCACAACAGAGGGAACATGGTTTTGGATGTGGACGGATCAGAATTTTAGTTGTAAGATAAAGTGTTCATATGCATATCAGACTGTCTCCACAGTAGTGACACTCTTACCTTCTCCCCAGAGAGCTGGGAACAGATGTGTTCAACACTACATGTAAGCCACAGGGTGTAGATTTGTTATGGCTCATTTGTTGTGACATATTGTCATAGTGCTCAGAGGTACAGGAGAGAGGAAGCAGCTGTCTAACAAGGGATACCCATCTTAGCTTTCATCTGGATGCTTTTATATGCCATGTATATGCATAGATAATGGATATGACCTGTTCCCTGTGTTTTTTATCTTCTCCAATCATGTAAAAACTCATTTTTCTATGTGGTGTCATGCTACTTTTGTACTTCAATGACTAATATGCATACATATGTATTATTAATAAGTGATATTAATTGGTTTCTCTGTTGCTGGGGTGATACACTGACAAAATACACTTGGAGGACCACAGTTTTTATTTGGCTTACAGGTGATATTTCATCATCCAGTGAAGCAACTGAGGAACCTGAAGGCAGAAGTTGAACCAGAGACTGTGAAGCACGCTGCATGTTGTCTTGCTCCACCACTGAGTAGAGCACCATTTCAATTAACACAGTTACATCCTTCATCTTATCTTCCCTATAACTGTTCTGATTCACTCATGTGCTATCTAAGGCTATGTCTGGGTTCTTGGACTTACTGCAACTGGGGTCTCTGTTGATGCTCAAGAACCATGTTGTCACTAAGGCCATGTGGATGCCTGGGATTTGGTCTACTACCTGAGGTCATTTTGGTGTCATATGGCCATGCCACTGTTGGGGCCATGTTGATTTGAGTGGCCAGTGCTGCTACTGGAGGACATGATTTCCATGCCTGAGCTGCTCTCAAGGGGTCATAATTGGATCCATTGACCTGCAGTAACCAGGATCTTAGTTGATATCTGTGGTTCCTGTCTCTGCCAAACTCAGTGAGGATGCCTGGATTCTGGACAGCCACCAGGGGCCTAGTTCACCACAAATTCTAAGTATCCTTCCTCCATTAGAAAGGGGTGGTTCATCACATCAAGTTCATCCTATTGGGTCATGCCTGTTCTTAATGAACCTTTCGCCTCCACCTTCTGTCACATAGGAGTTTCAGTGGAACTTTCATGCTCATCTCAAAAATATCATGTATTTTCTCTGCTTATGAATCCAGGTAGACAAAGCTCATTTCGTCCTCAGTTTTTGTCTGAGAATCAATTACAAGCATGCTCCTTTGCACATCTAGATGAGCTGGCACCATAAAAAGTTCCTTTGCAAAGAGGTTCACTCCCTGGGTCCATCTTTTGACTGACTTCATCCTCAGACTTTGATTTTGCAGAAGAAGGTACTAAATGCCTGAAGTTGGGGATATCCTTGTTTTTTGCTCCTTTGAGCATGAGGTGATTCATGTAAATTTGATGGCTTCACTTTTCGCCACTGGGTGTCTTTTCGTGTCCACAAGAAGACTCCTTCTGTAATTCACATGTTGAATGCATAACTTAAAATCTCATCTATGGCCCTAGGCCTTAATTTCTCATATTCTCTTTTGCATTTGCAGTGACAGTAGGGCTCTGGCGTTTTCCTCTGCCCATCTCTTGGTCAAGAATGTCTTTTCCTTGCCTACATGTATTGGTTTTGAGATGTTGTAGTTCAGGATTCCATTGCTGACACTGTCTATGCAGACCGGGCAAAAGGTTCCTCTCAAAAATTCAGGTTGGGTGTTAGGTTCCCTTTTGATCATTTTCTAGGATCATTCTGATGTTCTTCTATGTATCCAAGTTTTTATCTTCTGTACCTCTCTTTTCCCTTTTGACTCATTAGTTATGTTCCCTTGTAAACAGTACAGGCAGATTGTTTTAACTGAAATTGAACCTGCCACAGTCTTTGGTCTTCTTATAGGTATCTACAGGACTTATATGAGGTCTTTGAGCTTTAGAGTCTACATGGTCACCAGTTAGAAATTGTGTCAGCATTCTTAGTTACTTCTCCTTTTGGTGTTTTTGAACACATTTCCCTGTGTTAGGACCATTGATACCATGCATAAATGTCACCTTATTATATCCTCTTCCTGAGAGTCTTTGACACTCTCTTGAAGCTCTAGCTGTAATCCACATTCTTCCTGGGGTTCCAGGTATGTTTCTTCATACCCAATCTCTGTTTCATCCTGTTTCTGTTTCAACCTCTTCCAAAGCTTGGTTGTCTTATGAGACTACAAATAGTTGGCTTGCTCTTCCTGGAGTTTTTTCTTTTGACATTTTCCTGCAATGTCAGGGCTCTTGATTGCATGCTGATGGTGAGGCAACTATGTAGAGTGACAATGACAATTGGATTGCTCTGCTTTGGTGTCCACTGTCTGCTGTGGTGTAGCTTTCTGATTTCCAAGTCAATGTGGCAATCAGGAGGACTCTTGGTGGGTGCTCTTGTGTTGTTTTCCTCTTGATGGTTGAAGTATTATTTAATCCCCAAACGTATGTTTCATTCATACTGGACATGTTGGTTCCAGGTCAGGAACAACTGGGTAAAGAGCTCAGAGTTCCTCTTTATCTGTGGAGTTTGCTTCTGTTTCTTTTCAACATCAGCCACTACTTTTCTTTTGGTGAATCTACCAAGTTAACCTTGTCTGTAAAGTGAAAAAAGAACAGAGCCAGTCTAGAAAACTGCATGCAGTTCACACACTGGGTTTTGTTTTGGGGAGAAGTGAGACTCCAGGGCCACTGTAGATTCTAAAATTGTGAAATCACACTGAACTTTGGAGCCAGTGTTCTGAGGACACCAGATGCTGGCATTCCAGAAATGATATGGGGCCATTCCACTGTGTTCCTTGACTGTTGCCTTGGCCATCTCTTCCAGGTTTCATAGCTAGTTTTGATGCAGTTTCATAGTTCATGATAGCATTTTATGGTGAGTTGTTGCCCTGTACACTATTATCCAGGTCTAGGGTCTTAAAGTTTTGGTTTTTTTTTTACATCCCTGGAGTTCCTGTTGGTCTGGGCTTGTCTCAAAGGCCAAAAGAAAGGACAAAAACAAAAAAAAAACCAAAGTCAATCAGAACTCAAGCATCAGAATTAGCACTCATTCTCCAGGAAGGGAGAAAATATTGGCAAGAGCAGTGGATACACTTCATTTTATTATTCTGAAATATAATTTAGGAATGAGTTATGTATCCTTGCAAGGATTTACACTCATGCCCCTTTCTTTCTCCTGAACATAGGATTTTACAAAGAGATACATTTCTTCTTTCTTCCTTTCCTCTTGTGGTTGTCTTTTCTTGAAAATAGATCCTACTCTTGTGGTCTTATAATATTTTATTACCTCAGCTGTTCCTACAAGGCAATGGGTCCACAGATAAACAGTTTAACTGCCAATTTGTGCTTTGGTGTTAAACACTTGCTTGCTAGGATGACTGTGTCCTCAGCTGGACATCCGTTACAAAGTCAACCTTTGCCCATACCAAGAAAGCATAAAAGATAATATGCCTCACCAAAATTATGTCTTTGTGGATTTTTCCATTTTTTAAATAATCTGCTTTTACTTTATGTGTGTTAGTGTCTAGTCTGCATGTGTATCTGTGTGAGGTTGGAAAATACCTTGGAGCTGTAATTTCAGGCAGATGTGAGCTGCCACATGGGTGCAAAGAATTGAACCTGGATCCAGTGGAAGACGAGACAGTGATCTTCACTGCTGTGTCATCTCTCCAGCTCAGTTTTTACCTTTATACTCCTTGGGGTAAGAATACCCTGGGCCTTACCTAGCATATTCTCTCTGGTTTGGTCCTAGCCATTCTCATTTTAATAAAAGGCCTCTAATGAACACAAATTGAAATTTGAGTCACACTAGTGAACCTCTGAATGACCTCAGAACTTCAGCATTTGGAGGCACCAGTGAGATCTGGGCAGTCAGAGAGTTGCCGCCAGTCTTCTTCTGACTGGCCTTGGTTCTCTGGAGACTCTCAGCCAAGGGCCTGATGAAATGGAACAGCCCAGGTTGGGGGATTGGTGGGCAAGTACCCAATACCTAACCTTCATAGATGAGTGAATATTCAGGTCTTAACGACTTACAGTCTGGAACAAAACATAGATCAGAGAGTCCACTGCTTGTGGATGCTGCAGGTGAATTCCTGGTCTGCAGCCCTAGAAAAGTGAGAGGCCAAGTATTTGCATGATTCAACAGCAAGTTTTCAAATGCGAAATTTGTAAAAGGAGGCATCTGAAAGCCTCTGGAATTCTGGGTAATGATCCTGTCTGTGCTAGTGTGCAGTCCTGATACTGGTAGGAAAGCTGGAAGCAGCATTATTTCTGGACTCATAGGGACCCAGAGGACTCTGGGACTCTTGGTTGGGTCTGGGTGATCAATTCTGGGAGAAGGAATGGCCTCCATTTGTAGTACCTTGTCTGTCTTTCCTGTGTTCCTCTGCTTTTCTTAGTGTTACTTATTATTTTTGAAAAAAATCAGAAGTGATGTGTCATAAGTTTTCATACAGGAGACCCCTCTGACCCTGGTGAATCCCTACTTTAAGGAGTTCTAGAGAAATACTCAGAAGTATGGAAACAGGTCTATGTTAGAAAAACAATTACCTTTTATTCCTTTGATTGGCCTTCTTTCCATGTCTTCTTTTCATGTGTCTATCCAGCTGCAGGGCTGTTCATTCTTTCTCTTATTTACAGGTCACAACCTATGGATTATAGTTAACTAGGGCATTTGGTTGAACTGCCCTACATTCTGACCTGAATGTTCATGTTAAAGGATTCCCCATCCATGATAAGGAAGTGGCAGTCAATTCTCCCCTAATGCTAACCCTTAATTTCAGAAGAAATACGTGAAATCAAAGGATAGGACAAAGTCTATTCCACAGTCTTGTCAGTCTCCCCAGAAGAAGAGGAAATGCTGCCACCTTATAAATTTGGAATATTGGCCACATAGAAACCATCCAGTTGAGACACTCCCTGGCCCTTCTCACTTTCCCCAGTCACTTGTGAAGTAACCTTATTCCCCCAGGGCACCGATATGATGGAGAGGGACAATCCAGAGGAACAGGGGTGATATAAGAGAAATCAACAGTCATTGTTGAAACATTTTCCTTTCTCTAATAGTGATCTACATAGTTGGAAATCTTCAAAACCTCCCGCTCACAGTGAAACCCCCAAAGCTTACATTCTCTATAGGAAATGATCTTTTATAAAAGCATGTCAACATGGGCATAGTATCCGCAGATAATTCAAAACCAAGGAGAGGAAAATAACTCAACAGCAAGCCTAGGAAGTGGTCATTGAAATGACAGGAAATCAACAACTGGCCCTGTGGTTATCCAAGAAGTTTTCCTCAAACAGCTGGGATGGGACCTGAGTTCTGGTAATGGTAGGTAGTCTTTCAACCATGGTCACCAGGCTCTGTTAGGGGGGTGTCTCTAGGCAACACCCAGATAGCTCACAAATTTATCTAAGGTAAGCCAGAGTTCAGATGAGTCCCATTTGCTTTTCTGGAGTGCCTCCTAGAGATCTTTCAGAGTTACACCCCAAATGACCTGAAGCCACAGGAAATCAGAGGTCTATTAATATGGCTTTTGTTTCCCAGTCAGTGCCAGATAGATGGTAGGCAGTAAATTTAGAAACCAAAGGTTTTCAAGAAAGGTTTTGTCAGAGTTAGTTAAAATTCTTTCCTGAGTATACTACGGAGGGCAGACAGACTAGGAAACTAGCTATGGTGTTGTTGGTCACCTACCAACCACAGGATACAGGCATGCTTTGAGGAAATGCAAGGGAAAGGCAAAAAATGATGGTAGCAGACATAAAGAAAGAGAACACTTTTGTGGAAAAAGTAATGTGTTGGGCCTAAGAAAGGCTTGGATGTGAGGCCTAGTGTAAGCTCCTGAGCCTGGCTAGAGTTTAGCGACCTGTCTCTAACCTGTAACCTCCACATGGGGGTGACTTAGCCAGATCTGATGCAAGATTGACCCTGCCTAGCTACCTGCCTGCTTGATGGAATACTCTTGGCTCTTAACTCCTCAGGTCACCTTACCCTATCCCAAGATTCCCATCCCCTACCTCAGTCCTATATAAGTTCCTGCGTGTTGGAATAAATCGAGATCCTGCTTTGACAGACTCCCGACTCGGTGTGTTTTTTCTCCCTGGTAACTAATGGGGGGAGGGTCTGAGTCGTGGACACTCAACCATCCTGCTCAGCCCTGGGAGAAGACAGGCAGGACAGGTCCTTCCCCCGCTCTACCTGTCTATCTGCAGGGAGGACCCTGCAGAGATGGTGCCCTGTGTGAGCAATGGAAGAACGCTTCGGGTGAGTGTACCCCATAAATTATGGGGCAGTCTTTGTCCCAATCTAACTCTACCCTAGAATTTTTTACGGGTCCTACTTAAAAGTAGAGGCCTTAATCTTTCTGATAACCAGGCTCTCCATGCCTGGAGCTGTTTGCTCCCTGGCTGCCAGAGAGTAACCTTTTTGACTGGGATTCTTGGGATATGGTATTAGAAGAGCTCAGGTGGAAAAAGGGAGAGATTCCCCCACTGGGGACCCTCCCAACAGTGTCTGCCTTAAAGGGTTGCTTCCCCCTCAACAGAGTTGCTTCCTCCCAGGATCCCCTAGGGAGAGAGTGAGGCACCAATCCAGGAAGGGACAAAAGGAGATAAAGAAACTCAGGAAAAACCAAAGCCAAATTCTAGTCCTTCACACCACCTTGAGCCTCTTTATCCATCCGTAGACCTCTTTTGAAAGTGCTCTTTGGGAAAGTGCTCTTTGGCAGTCTAAGGTCACTCTGCTTCCAGGTCCCCCTATTAATCATTTCCAGAACCCCCATGCACCACCGCCTTATGCCAGAGAGGATGCTTCTGGGGGAGAAATGACCCATCTTTTTCCTGTCAATGTTAACCCCGGTGGTAACTGCCTGGCTGCCTGCTACTCCTGGGAAGCACATGATTTAAAGAAGCTCAAAGAGGCCATCTCAGAGGATGGACCTAATTCCCCTGGGCAGAGACTATCCTCCAGGGCTTAGCCCAAACTCAGGATTGGAAGTACCTTGCTAGGACAGTGCTTCTCTGATCCATGTTTCTGAAGTGGAGCACATTTTTTCAGGATAAATGTCGAATCCAGGCAGACTGAAATCAGAAAGCCCACCCTGTGGTCCTAATTAATTTTGACATGCTTTGGGGCACCACTGACCAGTTCTCTACCGGTCTTCAACAGGCCTCTGGAACTCCCTGGGTTTTGTTTTTTAAAGCAAAAAAAAAAAGTCAGATGGCTCTTGGAGGCTTTTACTTGACTTGAGGAAAATGAATGAGAGAATGATACCTTTTGGGACCCCACAAAGGGGACTCCCCTGGATTCCAGCCATTCCCAATACCCATTATTTAACTATTATTGATATTAAGGATTGTTTTTTTTCTATCCCATTACATCTGGATGATGTAGAAAAATTTGCCTTTTCCAGACCTTCAACAAATTTTTGCGTGCCAGATTTAAGATTTGAATGGAGCGTCCTACCCCAGGGCATGGCCAATAGCCCTCCAATTTGTCAGTATTATATGTTACATATTTTTCTTCCTTGATTGGATGTTGGTCATCCTAATACATTATTCTATATTTATATGGATGATATTATTTTGGATTGTTCCAACCCATCTGACCTCCAAGATCTTACTGCCAAATGTCTTGCCATATTAGAGGCCAATGATTTTAAGGTGGCTCCTGAAAAGATTCAGACTAGTCCTCCTTTTAAGATTTGGGTTCCATGTTATTTCTGGATACTGTCTCTACTGTTAAACCCCAACTTCACATTCAGGAGTCTTATACCTTGCTCCAGCTCCAAAAGATATTGGGGGAAATTAATTGGCTGGGGTCCTGGATTTCTATAACTACTGAGGAATTGGCTCCTTTGTTTGACCTCCTAAAATGTCATGATCTCTCCTCACAGATAATTCTATCTGCTGATCATTTACAGATTTTAAGTGAAGTTCAACAGGCCATAGACACAGCAACCTTAAGGAGGTATGATCCTCTTTTGCCCCTCACCCTTTACATTTTTCCTGGGGAAACATTATGTACTGCCTTGTCAGCACAAGAGGGTGAGCCCATACATTGGATTCACCTCCCAGATTGGTGTTGCCCCCAGAGTCTATTCAGTAACCAATCAGATTGCTGATTGCTTGGTAAGGGCAGGGATACCTCTGTCCAACTGTTTGGCACAGAACTTCATCTTATTGTAACTCCCTTTAAGACAACAGATTTCACCTGGCTCCAGAGAAACAATAGCAGGATTGCTATGGTTCTTGAGGGGTTTCTGGGTAAAGTTGATTGTCATTATGGTCCTCACAAATGGATGAGCTCCTTCTCTAGGTTAGAGCTGAGACCCCCCTGATTTTTTTTTACCTCAACACAACCTTGGCTTTCTTACCGTGTTTACTGATGGGGGGCACCTGGGGGCTTCTTTAGTCATTTATCCCCCCTTAGAACACGGTAAAGAGCCAGTGCATTCATTAGACACTATTCAAGAGTCATTTAACAGCCTTTATGTTGTTAATTTGTTACCCAACCTAGTTGAGGCCCATATTAAGCTGGACTCCAATCCTATATCACCTTTAATGATTCAAGCCCGCTACCTACTCAAACAAAGAACTAATCCCATATTTCTTCAACATCTCAGGAGTCATCAAGGAAGACGAAAGTAAGAGTGTAAAAGAGAGTGTAAGCAGCAGGCAGGGGTCTGTCCTTTAAAGGGGTCCTTTGCATCTGTGTGGTTCTCACAGAACTCTGGGCTGGCCAGAGTGTTGCCTGAGTGCATCTTGCCAGGTAACAGGGCAGGCCAGCGTAATGCCTGAACCTTTCACTGACCCATGTTAATTGGAGGGGTCTTAAACACAAGTATCCACTTGTTCCACTCAAGGACCTTAAAAAGATTGTCCGAACTTGTAAGTCCTGCCAGCCTTTCCTTCAGATACCCCCCTCCAAACTAGTGGAAGCAACCTTCGAGGGCTTCCTGATAATCTTTGGCAAATTGATGTTACTCATTATTCTCCATTTGGAAAGTTAAAGTATATTTTTCTCTAGGTTGATACCTTTTCCCATGCCTGCTGGGGATCGACACGCGCCGGGGGGGGGGAGCTAAACATGCTATTAGCCATAGGCTTCAATGCTTTGCCACCCTTGGATTGCCTGATCAGATAAGGCAGATAATGGCCCATGCTTTGTAAGCAGGGTCTTTATGGACTTCCTTAAGACATAGAGCATCTCACACTCCACAGGCATCCCATACAATCCTCAGGGTCAAGCACTTGTAGAAAGGTATAATCAAGTTCTCAAATCTCAATTACAAAAACAAAATGGGGAATCTATACCCCCACATGATCAATTAAAAAGGTCATTATTCATCCTAAATATTTTAAATTTTTCTAAAGAAGATAAATACCTGTCTCCATTTCAAAAACATTGGTCCTCATCGGTTACCTACAGTTCTATTTGGGTCAAATGGAGGGACCCATTGACAGGGGTCTGGAGAGGACCAGACCCCCTCCTCTCAGCAGGGAGAGAATTTGGATGTGTCTTACCTCAAAATGAAAAAAGACCCATTTGGGTACCAGTGAGAGACCTAAAATTTTTGCCCCAACAAGAGGACAATGACCATCACTTCTCCAGGGAGTGCTCCACCCCTGAGAACTGTGTCTCTGTTCCCCCCCCCCCCCCCAGGAACGAATGAAGATGTGGGTGATGCTGCTCTTCCTGGTATCGACCATGCTCTTCCTGCCCGGTGATGGAGGATTTGGAAATCCACATGACACCAAAGTTATCCTGGCTCGCCTGATGGGGAAACCCTGTGACTGCCAGGGTGGAACATACTCGGTATCTCCCTTTAGTGGATGGGTCATACAACAGGGTACAGGGTACAGGAGGAAAGTTCATGTTCCATTTACCAACCTTACACTTTACTCCCTGAGCACATACCTATACAGCAAATGAAAACATGTGAAAAGAAGGACAGACTCTACTAATTTTCTACCAAAATGGGAGAGCCAATTCTCTCTTCTGCTTCCTAAATTGTGAGCAGAAGTTATCCTCCTTTGCTAAGACATATTTTTGTTCCACTTTTCTTTGGGTACTTACTACTCCACCTCTCATTCTGAATATTGAATTGCATCTGACATTTCCAGTCTAGCCTAACTTTCCCTCTTTTCCTGTGAGTTCTTAGACCATTGTTGAAAAGTAGGTGATGACACTCATTATTATGGGTTCATGGAATATTCCCATCACAACCCATTGTGGGGAATGCACATGTTAAGCTGTAGTAGGAGTCTACAGACAGAAAACAGTTGTCCTCCTGAGAGACTCACAGGTGGAGGAGTCCAGAAGTTACAGATGTGAGATGAAAGAAGGCAGATTTGTTTTGACTGTGAAGTGTGGAAAATGAAACAGATGATGCTGATCTCATGCTGAAACTCTGACAAAGCAGTTTCCAATCAAATAAGGCTTAAAATTCTGGATATTTTAGCTTTAAACATTTTTCTTTAATATCACATTCCAGGTTTTTGGAAGGAGAACAGTGCTCAGACATCCAGTTGAATATTTTAGAATAACTATTCCTTCCCCCCCTGATATGGTCCCTTCTTTTTCTTTCTGTCCTTTCCTCCTGTCTACCATTATGTCTCCTGTTCCACCAATGTAGAACATTATGTGAAGCCCATTTTTGCTTCATCCTGTGCTCCTGTCTGGCTTGGAAAGGGCATCCAAATGCTGGAGAAAGTTTTTTAGAGCATGTCTTTCCCACCTTCTCGTTGTCCCAAAGGGAAAGGAACTGAATGTTTATATGCTTCATTTCATCATGCTTCTATTACTCTGACTTAACATTTCTGGATTGACTACCAACCTACCAACTGGTTGGATGAGCACATTGGATAAATCCTGCCTGAGAGAATGTGTTTGCTATAAATCTGGACAGGGGCCAAGACAACTCTCATCTCACTAATCCAAAGATGGTCTTAAGCACTTCAGTTGGATTATAACAGGCAATGGAGTGATGTGTATAGACAGTGTTTCTGTCCCACCTGGTCCCACAACTGTTTAGCCCCAAGTAAACACAGTGAGGCTTGTATTATTTGCAAACT